TAAATGAGTCGCTATAGATTGTACCTGATAAATAAGTAATTAAATATATATTTTACAGAATAAAGAACAGTCAACCCCCTACCATACCTGTTTGTCACTTTTTACCAATAACTGGAGTAATTTATGACTTAAATATTCGTTATGATTTGATTTTGTATACAAGTGATGAACTCGAAAAATATTAAACGGATTTTGTCCTTGTTGTTAGTTGACAGCCATTTTTGTAACGTCCGTGCACATTACTATAGGTAGGTTTACTCTTTGGACGATTTATGGTCACTGCTGGCCGCTAATATTTTGAATTATTATTTTTTTCCATGTTCAAATTAGTGTAGACGTGTTTTGCTGGTTGATAATCTTTCTTTCTGATCGAGACCATAGAGTCAGTATCTTAGAATTTGTGATTTGATATATATAATTTGCAAATAAAATCGCGAGTTTGAAGGATTACATTGAATAACGACAAGGAAATCCTTGTTTATTCAAATAAATTGAATAAACAAGGATTTCATTGAATAACCCACCAATAGAGTACCTAATCCGTGCTGGCTAACTGGTTCACTGTTGAAATACATAACAAAAGTTCAATTGAATTGAATAATTATTAAAAATAACGATAAAAGCGTTATTACCTGACTCTATTTATGAATGTTTATCATTAACTACAAATAAAAAGATTTTTATGAACTATTTTTGATATAATTAGTAAAGTGTTGCTTTATATTCCTTATTTAATAATGATTCCTATTTAATGCTGAGATCATTATCACCAGCATATTAATGAGTGGATGGAGTCGAATCTAATAGTGAAATTGGGCTATGACCCACCTGGATGAAGCCAGCCAGGAATAACGACTTAACTTGCCTTCCGAAGAGCGATGGAGCATGAGATAAAAATGTTTTGGTCATGCATCCTGTGAACAGCTCTTTCAAAAGTTCCTTAAAACCCGTATCGCAAACTGGACGCGCCAAGTAATGCGCTATCGATCTTATAGCCAGCAATAGCCAGCTTTATTTTTTTTAATAACGAATACTAGATTACAACTCGGCAGTAGTTTAATATTCGATTGTCGCATTTACAGAATAATTGAATTCTTAATTTGAATTAAGAGAGATTACCGACCATAGTGTGAAATATGGTGAATGCCGACTGTGAAGGTTTTATCTGTGTCCGCTTCATAGACGATAATGTCTGTTCCGTAATCCGGGTATTGTTCTTTAGAATCAGAACGGTTTTGCCAATTAAATGATTCCACTGAATTACGGAACTATGGGATGTAGGCGTTTTTATGCGAAAGGCGTGTAGAATATTTGACATGTATGTATAGATAACATGTACGTCATAAAAATAAAATTACTTATTTAAGTCTAGACTCATATAGGGATGGCGACTGGGTAAAAAAGGAATCTACTTAGTTCGTCAATCAGATAATAGAAAAATATTAGATAAGTATTTTTTTATTTATTTTTAACAAGAAATAAATTAGATAACATACATCAAAATTGACGAAAGGGGGCTCATGGCATCATAAAAATGTACCAAAGCGTGACGTCATGTGACATTTTTACTACGTATTTAATAGTTTCTACCTGATCTACCTGACAAGCAAAAACAACACATAAAAATTTGTCGTCATCCCTATTGGTTGAATTTAAAATTCTTTGGTTAAATGAAAGTTGGCAGAATTGAAGTTGACGCATAGTAGCCATTAAAGTTAAGAAGAAGAAGTAGTCTACACTGTAACAAGCACCTATGAAAGTCGAAACTCTATGCCATCGATTCGTAAATCTATGGCGAGTCCTTGTACCGAGAACAACTGGCAAGAAGCTCAGCAGGGGTTTGCTTTTATCTTCCTGTTTTGTTTCGTAGAGAGATATCATAATTTAAAAATGTCTTTTTAGACTATGAAGTCACTATCCATCACAATATTTAAATCGAATAAAAGATAATAAAATAACTCACTGTTCAAACGGTTTATATGCCATCTCAAACAAGCTCATTGATAATAATTAATTATTATTCAACGTGCATAATAAAAGAAAATGGACAAAAGTAAGTACAGACCAAACTCCTCTAGCAGCACTTATTCTCTGAAGCTATTTAATTTCTCTTTCTCACTTCGATTTCGGTGCGGTTATCGCTGTGAATTAATAATTTTTTTGAACTAATTACTCGTGCAAATTATTACTACAAAGCCAGGCATGTATTGTTATATACTTGTTTTGATTGAATGACAACAATGAAACTAAAGTGATAAAAATATCACAGGTTCTCAACTGTTCAGTTGTTTTAGCATATTTCATTTCTTTTTTATTAAGTTAATCGTTTCTTTTAAATTTAGAAGACATACATCTACTTATACAGTTACGTTAAAATACAATCCCCAACCCAAACACGATATGTGTAACATAAATAAATAAATTTCAAATAAAATTGAATTTTTCTTTTGCACTTTCAAGAGACTTGAGTATATGATTTAATTTCAACTCGATATCTCCACATGTTTTTGAAATATGTCAGTCTGAAGATCCTTTATCGTCATACAGATAGGTGAAGAACCTCAAAAAATTACTAACTTTATCTGGTGATTTGTAATACAGGCTAATCCCATTTCAAACACCAGCTCCTCACAGCATTAATATTAAGAATATTTTATTTATGTACACAATGCGATGTAAGTTTTTGTGAGGAGAATAAATAAATTTCATACAGTATAATCTATAGTTTAATCGATTTTCAAATTCAATATTTGTACGGAATCCTTAAACCGCGATTCCGATTTAGTCTGTTTAAAAAAAAAACCAGTTTCACATAAATAAAAGGTGTATGACAGCGGAGGCTCGGCTATAATAGCATCTGTAACTAGCGGTTATCTAACAGTAACCGTCGCAATGTTGTTAACTAGTTAATAGATCAGTTGAAGCACGCACACGATGTACATATTTGGAAACTAATTAATATTCATATCTTTGTTATATATAACATAATGTTACTATGAATATGGAACGGTATGATAACATTTTTTTATTGCGATGAAAAACTGAATGAATTTTGCTGTCATTAAATCACCTATGCACTTCAAAAGACCGTAGATTTTGCACAGGATGTGCCCGTACCTGGATAAGCCGTTAATGGATACAATAATTTAGAAGGTAGGTTTTGTATTAGTGGCTGTAATATGAGGACGATAATAGTTGGATATGTCAGAATAAATCATTCTGACTTGGTGCTATACGTGAATGAGGAAGTATTTAAAAAAAATACTTAAAAAGCATCTTCACGAGATGGCGACTCTAGAAAAAGGCACTTTTGCAGGAACCGAATGGACCAAAGATAGTCATTCGTTCCTTTTAACTAACATATTAAAAAACTGATATTTGCAAAGTTCGAAACTTAGATACAAATACGAAAAAGTACAAATAGAATATGAGTTGTTTATTGAGTTTTGAAAATTAATTTACTTTACATGAAAGAAAACTGCAAGGGTTGTCAAGGAGAAATCAAAAAAGTACTGTAGCGACATCTAATTTAATTTCGGGATCTAATGTTTTTTTTTAATACTTCCCCATTGCATCTGTGAGAAATTAATCAGTTACACATGATTTGATGTTCCCAAGTGATAATGAATTAGTTCAATCATTTCGAGATTTTTTACGTCATAAATTCCACCAAATAGAAACCAATCTTATTGAATTGATTCCGGGGCAAAAGACAGTTTTTATCGCATTCCTTTTATATAACTTTATATTTACTTTACTTATAGGACGAAGATTCTTTTATATCTTCGTCTTAGGTATCGTGACCGATTGGCGGTCCGGTCTATGTAGAATAAGGACTTTTCTGTATTATCTTGGATCTGGGTGTTGTGGTACTTTCGTTGTCTCAGTATTGTGAATGCAAATTCATAAATTATTATAAGTGGTATAAAAAGCTAACTTTTCATATTGTTTCTGGATGTAAATGGTTATGTACATTGCATTTATCCTTGTTATAATACAGCTAATTTATTAGTATACAACTAACTCGTACATTTGTGATATTATGTCTATGTAAAATATTGTGAATGTCTATAAAGTTTACGTAATAGGTAACAATTATTTTCAATGAATCAAGTCATTATTATTTCAAAGTAACTTTCGCAGCTCATATGCAGTCGCATGACTTTCTTTTAAATGTGAACACACAGACACATAATATTTTCCCACGAATTTATTATACAAACCATTATATGTCAAACTTTTATAGTACGCAGCGCAGTGTCTCTTGTGTATGAGATATGTGAAACTTTCTTAAAATCAAATTGTTCGCGAAAATTTTTTTCTTAAATTATAATATTATTTAATTTAAATGTTACTTATAACAACAAAAACAATAACTTATAACATTAGTTTTTTAAATTTAAGCTTTATACCTTTCCGTTAAAGATAGCAAAAAAGTTACTTTGTTGCCTTTATTTGTGTTTATTTTTTTATTTGTAGATTTGAAGCTATCAAAATTACATCTGTGTTATTATTTATTTATCAAGTCGTCCACGCCGATTTCAATGTGTTACCAACTGTGAGGTCTCAGGTTCAATTACCGGCCCTGTTAAAAATGAGCTTTTCTATTTTTTCCCGTGATCTAAGATCTGAATAACGTTTAGTAATTTAGATTTTATTTTTGGTAAAATCTGTAATCACAATGCTGTCTTAAATTTATAACATTGGTTTAATAAATGTTATCCGATCTAAAATATTTAAAAAAAACGATGGTATTTCATATAAAGCCTTAAACTTATAAATTTGTAATGCCTTAGTAATAACGTTACTATTTCTTTGGTAAATAACATCATCTGACTGTTATTACCAAATAAGCTTTCCAACAATTGTTATTCGGGATTGTGTTAGCAGGAAGCGTGGAATCCAGATCAGTTCGATCGTCCAGTGAAAATATCGGTCGTAATTAATATAATAACAGTTGGGAGGGGAGGTTATATATTGTGCGCGCGGGGTTTGGCGCCATTCGCCGCGCGACCCTCCGCGCACGCGCCTTCTCGCGAGTGACAGTTCAGTGACAGTTGACAGTTAACCCCCCAAATGGCGGCGAAATTTTACGTAAGTGTCAAAATTAAGTGTTAATATTTAACGACATCTAGAACGGAATCCCTTTGCGTAAAAAAGGATTTTTACGTGTGCATGAAATAAATCAAGTGCCATAGGAGTGTGGTATTAGAATTAATCGGATTTTGGAACACACGGATAATCGTATGAAGTGTTTGAGTGTTATTTTAAGTGTTTTCTAAACAGTGGTTCTATACCACATTTCTATGTAAATTTATACCATCTACATACACTTAGGTGAATTCGATTTCAGGGATTTCGTTTCAATTTTTAAATAAAATATCTTTCATTAAAGAGACACTATTTAATCAAGTCAATATAAAACATCGAACCAGTGTTTCTATATTTTTTTTCATGATATCCTTCGATTTCTATTTCTTAATGATAACCAATAATTTTATGTTAAATTTTATTTCAACTTTATCAAAATCAATACAACACCTAAATAACAAATCGAGCTTTTTTACGATTACTCATTAAATTTTCCAAGGTAAATAAATCATGTACAGTAATTAAGCATGTAAGTTTATTAATGTTAGATATCGTGAATAATGTCAAGTCTAGACTTTAGAGCGAGCGCTTGCCCTAAGTATGCTTAGAAAGGACATTTGCTGGTCCGGGTCGTCGAACCCAGGGAGCTTTGTGTGAATATCAAACCACCAAGAGAATCATACAATTACAATAGATTTCAATTGACTTTTTAATTAATTCAAAGACAATTGCATAGAGTTCTTTATAAATCAAAGTAAAAGCTTTGTCTGGTAGTAACAGAATCGTATATTTTTATTGTTTGGTATTTTCGAGTGCTAGATTACGTAATGTTTTATATTCTTGATTAACTTAAAAGTTTATTAAGATATAACGCATGTTACTAAAGCCTGAGCTTGAAGTATTGAATTTAAATCTACAAATATAAATGGCAATTGCTAATACTAATATTTGTATGTAGAGTCTCAAACACAGAAGTATTTTTTTTTTATATATTTCTGTTCGATCCAAGTAATCCATCTCTGTTTTTCATTGTTGAACTGATATTTTATAAATAAAAGTATAATTATATAAATAAAACTGTTAGTATTGCTCACGTTATTTAAATTATTATTGATTTAAAAAAAGCGCCTCATAAGGGTCCCTTTTTTCGAGTGCTTCTTTAAAGTTTACTTTAATATAAAGTCTACCTGTTCAATATGGTTGCCTCAAAATAGTTAACCGTCTTAATTATTGCAACTGTTTAATATTTCAAAAGAATCACTATTAGATAGAAATAAAAATTAGAGATATCAAATTTGTCAGGTGGTACTACAAGACCTTCATCTTGAATAACTCATGTAATCGAATAGCTAATTAGAGAAGAGTTACGTTACATTAAAAATATATCACAATTATACCATACTAACTGCTTTCCCGCGACTTTCCCCGCGTACAATGTAGCTTCCAGTAGGTGACATAATTTTTAAAATAGATCCAATTGTTTCAGAGCCTATTTAATGCAAACAAACAATCTTTTCACTTTATAATATTAGTATAGACATATAAACCTTTATCATAATTACACCTACTGCGAATAAAATATAAAGTCAAACTCTTAAGAATTGGGGTCAATAACAGATGTAGAATTATTAAAAGTAAGAACTTGGAGCCTGAGGTTTTGACATTTACTTACATAACCTTATTGGATTACAGTTACAATTAAATTTTATTTTATTTAAACATTTTTATGTGCAGTTAAATAACATCTTTAATAAACTGTAAAATTTGATGATATTTATGACTAATTAGATTTTTAAATAATCTTATAATATTGGATCCATATTCAAAAAGACAATGATAATATAAGTTTTCTACCTAAAAATGTTACCTACTGCTCTTCTTAATGTGATAATTAAGAGATCTAAGTGTCCGGCCACATATTATAATGACGTCAATTTTTTAAGTTTATATTTTCTATCAATAAAATATCGATATCTTTCTACATCGATACATTCCACGTCCAATATTCCTAATCATTAATTAATTGATATCGATTTCTTTAATTTGGAACTACCTATCTTCATTCGTCTTAATTCAAAAGTAATCAGACTAATTTCGATAGTAAAAAAAGGAAAGCGTAATTTGGAAACTAAAATCAACGGAATACACAGTAGATTTTCATTCGAGAAAAAATTAAAAACATCAAATCATATCATCGACGCCATCTCTCGGCAATCTAAGGTAACATAACCGTGACAGTTCCACTTTATATGAGATTTTTATCGATCGATAAGTTACGATTTCTCGATTTACATATATCAAACCGTATCGCCATTGATAGATCTAAATGCGCTAAAAGTGAATACATTGAAAGTGAAACTACAAGTGCCGTCATCAACGGAAAGTGAAAACGCGGAGGCCTTCTTGGAAAACGAATCTATTTGTGCTTAGCGGCACTGGTCGAATACATTTCTATAATGAGTAAACATGACACAGCTTTGTGCTCAGCTTCATTTTTATTAATGATGTCTAGACTTTTTGGAGTGTTAAGTTTATTTTTATTTTTTAAGTTCTATATAAACCCACTTGAAATGCAAAGGCGAGAGTTTTTTGTTTTTCGTTGTGATATTGTAATACTTCATTGTATAAACGCCACTTGTATAGATTCTGATAATAACTGATAAACATATCTGACGAATAGTGTCAATAGTGGAATAAAATTGTTCCATGTTTCAATTTAATAAAAATATAGTAGCATTCTATAAAATTTGACTCCAGTTTGTTTTTGAACATTTGCAATTTGACTCTATTTAATTTAAATTTAATTCCTTAAAAATAAAAGGCATGAAAAATAATACTTAACTCAAAAGCGGCTTATACAAGAAATAACATTAAAATCGGGCGGAGGTTTTCTGAGGCACCCGATTTCAATAGTTTTCTGAAAACCGAGTCAAAATCAGTTCAGCCAAACGAGGGATAATCGCGATCAATACATACAACACGTGTTAAAGCGCGAACCTCCATTTTTTAGTCGGTTAATATACATAAACCTTCTCCTAACTCTGAAAAATGCTATGCTAAAACCGCATCAAAATCGGTTCAGCCAAATGCGAGAAAATCACGCACAAACACACATATAGTTTAAACTGAAACCCTATTATATATATAGCACGCTGGCCGTTATATTGTTTATTTTTTTTAAGCTTGTTTGCAGTCTGCGCCTGCACAAGGACGTCTACTTCTACCGTTCCTCGGCTTGATCACTTGTAGGCCGTTCTAGAAAAATAATTATCTGTTTTGTATATCAGATCACCGCTTTTAACGTTCCGATTTGTGACTGTTATTGACATTTGTCAAGGCAAAAGGAATGAAATTATAAGCCTTAAACCAGGGCCTTAATATAGGTAGAGTTGAAAACACACTTGGTCACGATTTAAACGAAAATCTGTGTGACTGCTACCAATATTAGTTTATTGCAATGAAAAAAAGTCCGTGACATATGTCCATATATGGGAATGACAGTTTCCCAACAGTAAAATTTGGCTTTTCGTTGGAGCATTGCCTAATGCTTTCATAAAAAAAATAAACTCCAAGTAGCGTGATTTCGTCTTTTAAGGTACAAGCGGTATTTAAGGCCCGCGTTGCAATAAGGCCTATCTGAAGAGTTTAGTGCTAAAGTAGTACTATACTCACAGATGCATAATATGGCGTATATATCGTTGCCTCATTTGCATTGGAGGCCTTAATTGCTACTGGTACCTTGTAAAAATCTAAAACAATAAAGATGCCACAACTCCCAGCCCCCAGACAATATAGCAAACGAACTATTCGGCCGCGAATGCAATAACTCTGATCCGAACAGTTTCAGACCTCCGGTAACATAATATTGTAGAATACGCCGTGCGCGCGGCCGTCTTATACTTACTGATTAGTTTTTTGACATTAGGTACTTTTTCCTCAAGTACTTATATTTTTTTTCATTACACTGTTCATATCAAAAGCATAAACGGGTATCACTTGATGATACAATCTAATATCGTTACAATATAAGCATGCGAGTTCGTCTGTCACGAGTCACGTTTCGCGTGGCGGACCTCGTTAAGCGTCACGCACGAGTTATATAATCTGTACCTATTACCGGTGCGGTCAACTGTCATAAGTCATAATCATTGCTGACAATAAATGTATCAAACAATACCTTTATCACTTGTCGGCTTTAATTGTTAAGTAGCGTAACTTTATTTTTATATCTTTATAATATTATTGTGTGAGATTTCAGGACAATATAACAAAAAGCTTATTTATGGGCATGGCTGCCGGCATATTCAATTTGTCTTTAACATATGTATCTATAATCATATCTCAGTCATTTTCTTGAAAATATGTCATGAAATTTGTTTTGCATATTGTTCATTTGTGGACATGCCTTAAAGATTGAGATGATGATTTATCTAAGCATTTGCAATGATTTTGAAAGATATTTATTTTTTGCTTTTCAAATCGAAATTTTACTATTCAAATATTTTGTACTATTAATAAAACATAAAAAACCGTTTATAATTAGTAATTCATATGCGTAAAATCCTTTCTGACAATCCTAATTTGGGTCCTCTGAGAGTAGAGCTTCTTGCGACAGTTCACAGATTAGACAGAGACGGCGAGGCAGCCCTCTCTGTGCCCTCACCCTCCGTGACCTCTGAGCAAAATGTGATGCCGCATTTGATTCGCAACTTATGTGAATCTTGGGCAACGTAGTGTGCAGTTAGGTAGTTGTAGATACATCACCATTGGTTCTGAATTAAATTAAGAGCAACAAAAATAACGTTGTCGTTTACATTTTAAAAAATTGTTTGTTTTTATCGTCAAAAATAATGTGTGTTCTTAGGCGGCTCTACTTTATTATATCTAAATTTGTTTATGAAATCTACAGGCAATATTTTAACGTTGTATTTCCAAATTAAATTAGTTTATATCTAAACATATTCATTTTGAAATCTACAAAAGACAATATCGTATTTAATCTG